AACAAAACTAAAACTATAAAGTTTTCATCGTCAAAACGTTTGGTATTTGTAGTTTGGGGATAGAACTTGAAATATTAAGTTCTTTAAAGGCTCAAAGCAAATGTGCCGTTACAAAAACGGTGAAAATCGTGCAGCCTTGTATAAAAAACAAGTAGTTTTTTCGTGTAGTTTCGCGTATAAAATATAACTTACTCATAAAACATTTTTGCAAGCTCTGAACGTAACTGTTTTGCTAATACTTTATAAAATTACGAGATGATAGTTCATTCATCGTCGGGTTTTGTTTTTCTTCAATCTAAACGAAGTGTTTTCATGTTTTTGAAACAAAAATATTTAGTTGTTGATATTTAAAACTGTAAATCGCCTAAATAATCGTCGAAAACATATGGTTTCAAAAGCGTTGCCTCAAGCTCAAGCAACGTATAAAAAAGTATAAAAAGTAGTTGTGTAAGTTTAAAAAGATTATTGAACTCTATTTATATTATAAAACAGTTGAAATATATTTTTTAAAACATACCTATTGAGTTTCAGTTTGTCTTGATTTTTCGTGTTTTGTTTTGGCTTGCACAACAACGTTGAAAATGCATTTTGAAAGGACGATTTCTCTATATATTCTGTTCAGAACTATTGCTCTTCGTAAAAAAACCCACGGGAATGGGTTTTTCTCCATTAAAAACACTTTTTTTCCACTTCAAGTCTGGATAGAATTGTTTTTGCAAACTTTGTTGAAAAAAACAATTCGCACTCCCGGCACCGCGCGAAATTCCACGCCAAAGGAGTCTGGGACTAGCCAAAATGCCCTTATAAATCCGCCATTTTGTGGAGACAAAATTTTTACTGAGAAGAGATAGGAGCACGCATTCTATGCAAGGCTGCCACTCGTAGGGGGATTCCCCTACGGTAGGGGATTATCACCTCTTGTAGGGAGTAGGGGATACCTACGGGGAAAATGGTAATTTGTAGGGGAACGTAGGGGGTTTCTTTTACGGTTTACCTACAAAAGTCGTATTTCTCTTTTTGTGATTATCCAAATCAGTTCTTCCGTAAATTTCAATATTTTATGGCTTCTATGGAGTATGGAACATTGTATGGAACTGCAGGATTTTTTATGGAAACTAGAAATTTAATGCTGACGGCATTTCCATGACAACTGGTCCGTAATTCTCACCACTGACCAGGCTCGGATTTGAGCCCGCTACAATTTCCACACCCCCTGGTTATTTGAAAAAACTTTAGGTTTTTGCAATTTTGCTCGGGTGTTAGAGTAATAGGGAGTTTGAGCTTCACGTTTGCGGGAGCGCCAAACGGCAAGGCCGACTTTTCTTGGCATAAAGTCGTTCGATTTCTGCGTGTCATATTTTCCTTCATATGAAACAACAAGCCCATTTACTTTTTATCGCTTTTTATCGTAGAATGTTTCTTTGCCTGACGTTCGTCGTTGAACGTGAAGCTTAACTCTCTATTGTGTAGTAAGTATAGGAGCAGGTCCTCCAGTTATTATACAGCCCAGTGTTTTTTCCCTACAAATATACAATATTAGTAGGGAAAATACAATATTTGTAGGGGAACGTAGGGGAACATTGGGGACAATTGCATGTCGTGCTGTAGGGGAAACGTAGGGGATTTCAGTGCCCGCCATAGGTGGAAATAGGGAACGGAGAGTGGCAGCCCTGATTCTATGTCTATTAGGGAGCTTTAGATTTGACTACGAGTACGACTACGAGTACGAGATTCGTCAAGCTAAACGCATGCTGTATGCTTACGCCATCCCGTACTGACGCGAAAAAGTCGTAGCCGTCGCCCATCTGAGTACGAAATTGTGGAGAAATCTCGTAGTCCTCACGACGACTTTTCAAAAAAAAACAAAGAAAGTTGGCTTTTTTTTGTTTCCCAAAAATAATTTGTAGCATTTATATAGCGTTTATCCGGCGCAAATAATATATTAGTACTAAATATCTGGCCTGTTTTTAATGTTATGACTTATTTACACGTTTTGTAGGCTATTTTAGTCTGCAGGAGATTTAGTTTATGAAACTTTTTCTCTCGATGTTGGTTTACTGTTATAAAAGCAACATTTGAATGGAAACGAAAACGACTACGGTAATTTCCTCGCACGCGATCAAATCTCGTAGTCGTAGTCGTACTCGTAGTCAAATCTAAAGCTCCCTATTATTTCTATGGCAGAAACCCTCGCCTTGCTGACAAAACCGTTGTATTTTCCGAACATGAAGTATCTAAAGTAGTTGTCATGGTAACACGATAATTTTTTAAGAATATTCTTGCAAATGAAAATCGCCTAAAAATATCACTTTTGATTACAAAATTATCAATTTCCCAACATATTTATGTTAGGTATGTAATTATACGTAATACAAGCTTCAATTTAAGGTAAAATTCAACCACAAACAATTCACAAAACGTTTTAAAGTGTTCTTTATAAAACTAAACTGCCTTTAACTATTAAATGGCTTTATCAATAAACTTTGAGTTTTGCAATAAAATGATTTCAAATTCTCGCTTGCAAATAACTTTGCTTTATTTTTATTTAAAAAATTCAATAGTAATAAAAAAGAGAATCAATATTAAAGATACACTGAAATTATATGCTGTCTTGTTTAGTTGTTTCATATACGCAAAGGCCGTCGGGTTTTAAAGCCATTATAAAATTAATATTTAAAACAAACTTACCTTTGTTAACGTCGGCTCCCTTCTTTTAGCTGATTTCTTTCGCCCTTTCTTTCTTGAAATTTACAAAATCTTGCAGAAATACAAGCAAAAAGGAAGAATATTTGCAAGAAATTTATCAATCATCAACTCATCAAATCAAGAAATGTTTGCTATTTCGCTGTCGTCATGCAGCCGTTATAATGCAAACTTTAAATTGGACCAATCAGTGTCCGCTTTTAATGACAGTCCTCAATATTTTTGAGATCAGTGAGGATGACCACCCATCGTTGGTGACCGACGTCCGCGCTCATTGATGAACTTCGGACTTCCCTAATGCTTTCGTTTCCCCGGGTGTAAATAGCCGGGGGGAATTAGTACCCTCGCACGGCGCTTCGCGCCGCCGGCTCGGGGAAAATTTCTTTTATCACGGTAGCCTATTCAGTATAATATATACAGTCTGTTTTTCAAAGGGCCGTGCTATATAGTATTAAACACACATTAACTATGGATATTTACATTTAATTACAGCACATAATTATTACACACTCCATTAATTTCGGAAATGCATTATACATTATTCATATGCAAGCTTAAGGGCTAAACGCCTTTTGAAATTGGGTAAAGATAAATCCTGAATGTTATTAGTTACTTCATCCGATAATTCGTTCCACCCTTGTGCTGCTCTATAAGAGAAACTTCTTTTAAGAAAGTTAGTTCTTGGTTTAGGCAAAGATAGTTTAACATTATTGCTTCTTAGAGAATAATTACTATTTTCGCATCACGTGAAGAAATTCTGCACATAATCAGGTAGTCTGTTAGTTAAAGCTTTAAACGTCATAATGATTTCTCTTTTCTTTAAAATGTCTTCAATTGGCATCCAATTGAGACTTTCTAGTATTTGAGTGGAACGAACATCGTATGATTGTCCTGTGATAACTCGAGCTGCTCTTCTTTGTAACTTAGAGAGTTTGTTAAGAATGGTATTAGATCCATCATTCCATATTGTTGAGCAATATGTCAGGTGAGGAGATACTAGAGCATTATACATTTTGATTAAAATGTGTAAAGGAACAAAGGACTTGGCTCTTCTTAGTAATGCGATATTTTTTGAGATTTTTTTACATTGTGCGTCAATGTGTATACCCCACTTTAATTGATCGTCGATGATAAAACCAAGAGATTTTTTGTTGGTGACCCGTTTAGTATTATTATCTCGTATGGCTAATGAAATCTCTGGGTTGTCTTCAAATTTAGTAAGATGATGTCTAGAGCCAATTATCATAAATTCCGTTTTGCTATCGTTTAGCGTGAGCTTGTTACATCTAAGCCAACTATGAACATTCTCAAGATCTCTTTTAAGTTTAGTCTCGATTTCATTGGCATCTAAGCCGGCACACGAAAGATTTGTGTCATCAGCAAACAAGTTAGCCTTGGTTGTTTCTAGGCACTTAGGTAGATCGTTAATATACAAGAGGAATAGGATGGGGCCAAGGTTAGAACCTTGTGGTACCCCACACCTAATTTCTCTAGCATGTGATTTTTTCCCTTTCATTAAACAAATCGATTTCCTATTTTGGATGTAAGATTCAAACCATGCGTAAGTAGTTCCTTTTATGCCGTATAGGTGAAGTTTCTTTAATAAGATTTCATGGTCGACAGTGTCAAAAGCTTTTTTCAAGTCCAAGAACAGGACTCCATTGATTAAGCCACTGTCCATGTTATATAACCACTCATTTGTCGAACCTAAGAGTGCCGTCTCAGTAGAGTGCTGTGAACGAAAACCGGACTGTTGCTCTACAAGAATCCTATTGTCAGCAATAAACGTTCTCAATTGATTGTACACTAGCCCTTCAAACAGCTTAGCAACCACAGAAATTACAGAGATTGGTCTATAATTTCCGCAATCAGTTTTATTCCCTTCTTTAAAGACTGGTGATACCTTGGCGATTTTCCACTCGTCCGGAAAAATTGCAGTCTGAAGAGATAGATTAAAGATGTTGGGTAATGGTTGCGCGGTAACATCGCTTGTATCTTTTAATAGTTTTACACTTATGCCGTCCAGTCCTGGTGATTTCCTTGAATTAAGTTGGTTTAAGGCGTCAAAAGTCTCTTGGACTGAAATACATGAAAAATGAAACGAACTCTCCGTAGGAGTGACAAATGTCATAGGGTCAACATTAATATTTTGGACATTTTTCGACAGTTTACAACTGATGGATGAAAAATACTGATTAAAACAGTCCGCAATATTTGTGTCTCCAGTTATAACTTGGTCATCTACATTTAGCTGTGTTACATGGGTAGTTTTGGGCTTTTTGTTTAATAGCTCATTAATAGCCTGCCAACTCTCTTTGCTATTATTTGCATTAGATAACTTCGTTTTAAAGTATTCTTCCTTAGTCTTTTTAATAAGCTTATTTAATTTATTCTTGCATCTTTTGTAGGCCTCGTTATGATTACTCGATGTTAAACGAACACTCTGTCTTTTAAGATAATCCCTATGATGCATTAAACGCTTTATTTCTTTCGTCAGCCATGGTTTATGCTCACTCTTAACGCGACGCTGTCTAACTGGCGCGTGTTTTTCAGCAATAGTAAGAAAGTTGTTCTTAAATTCATTCCATAGCACATTTGGATCATTCGATGTGGGATCTAGATTAGTATAGTAGCTTAGCTCTTCTTTAAATTGGTGGGAGTTGTAATTTTTGAACTGTCGTGTAAATACAATTTTTGGTGGCTCTTTAGGAATGCTAATTTTCCGACATATATAAACAATACTATGGTCACTAATCCCAAGGTCAACAACCCCGGCTTCTAAGGTTTTATCATCGTCGATATGTGTAAGAATTAAATCAATCAGAAACGAAGAATTATAAGTAGTTCTAGTAGGGGTTTGTATGTGTTGCTGCAGTTGGAAAATATCAATAA